TGCTTATGCTCATACTCAATTCAATACAAAAGTTCAGTCTCTCAGAACAGATAATGGCCAAGAATTTAATATACCAGATTTTTATCAAGATCATGGTATAATTTATCAAATGTCCTGTGTAGAAACCTCTCAGCAAAATGGCAGGGTTGAAAAAAAACACCAGCACTTGTTAAATGTAGCTAGAGCCCTTCTTTTCCAATCAAAATTACCTCTATCATACTGGAGGCATTGTGTGTTAACTGCTACACATCTCATCAATCGCACTCCCTCATCCATATTAAATAACCATACACCATATGATCTCCTTTTCCAAAACCACCTTATATAATTACTTTAAAGTATTTGGCTGCTTATGTTTTGTCAGTACTCTTACAAAAAATCAAAGAAAATTTCAACCAAGAGCAAATGTCTCTTTCTTGGTTACCCTTCCAACATAAAAAGATATAAGGTGCTTGATCTCTTAACTTTCAAAACCCTCATCTCTAGAAATGTAGTTTTCCGTGAATCCATTTTTCCTTCCATTCCAAACTCTACTCACATGCCTTTTATCTTCCTAAATTTTTTCCAGATCTATGACTCCAACATACCTACTATCTCATCTCTTTCTTCTTCTCCTGCTCCACCTAACATGCCTCCTACCTCCTCTTCTCCTCTACATCACATTTTCCCAACTGATACTATCATTGATACTCTACACCCTCGAAGATCTGAGAGAGTCGAACATCTTCCTACATATTTGCAGGATTTTTATTGTGGTAATATGACTCTGACACCTTCAGCATCTCATGCATCTTTCAACAGGTCGAATCCTTCGCCTGGTATGCCTCATCTTATTGCTTCATATCTTTCTACTTCTAAGTTGTTATCTAACTATAGAGCCTTTGTTGCTACTGTTTCATCTATTGTTGAACCTAAAACTTTCAAACAAGCTATTATATACTCTCAATGGAGAGCTGCTATGGCAGATGAAATTAAAGCTCTTGAATTGAATCTACTTGGGACCTTGCTATTCTACCTCCACATAAGACTGCAATAGGATGCAAATGGGTTTATCGTGTGAAATTTAAAGCTGATGATACAGTTGAAAGATACAAAGCTCGATTAGTAGCAAAAGGTTATACTTGACAAGAAGGTCTAGACTTTTTCGATATACTCTCCCCCGTTGCAAAGATGACTACCGTGTGTACTCTACTTTCTGTTGCTACAATCAAACATTGGCATTTACATCAACTTGATGTAAACAATGCTTTTCTACATGGAGATTTACATGAAGAGGTGTACATGCAGCTGCCACTAGGATATTCCTTACCTACTGATCTTAGAGTTTGCAAACTCAAAAAGAGCCTATATGGTTTAAAACAAGCTTCAAGACAGTGCTTTTCAAATTATCATCTTCTTTGATTCATCTTGGTTTTACTCAAGGTAAGTCCGATCCCTCTTTGTTCATCAAACAAACTTCAAAGAGTTTCATGACCCTATTGATAAATGTTGATGATGTTATCGTCGCATCTGATAACCTTGTTGATTTAGACATTGTAAAGAAGTTTTTGCATGATAATTTCACCATAAAAGACTTGGGTGAACAAAAATATTTTTTTTGGAATTGAAGTTTCTCGATTAGCAAAGGGCATTACTCTATGTCAACGAAAGTATGCATTAGATATTCTGCAAGATAGTAGTTTTCTGGTTGTAAACCATCAGGTTTTCCTATGGAATCTACAATAAAGCTGAGTGAAAATTATTCATCACCTCCTTTATCCAATCTTGTATCCCATAGGAGGCTTGTTGGCTATCTTTTATACCTTACAATAACTAGACCTGACCTAGCTTATTCAGTCTAAACATTAAGTCAATTCATGGCTAACCCCAGTAACACACATCTTAGAGCTGCCGAGAAGGTTCTGAGATATATTAAAGCAACACTAGGTCAAGGTATTTTCCTATCTGCAGTTTCTTCTATAGACCTAACAGCTTACTCAGATAGTGACTGGGGAGGATGCATTGACACTAGAAGAAGTGTTACTGGTTTCACAATTTTCCTTAGAGACTCTCTCATATCTTGGAAATCAAAAAAGCAATCAACTGTCAATCGTTCTTCTACTGAATCTGAATACAGAGCCCTAGCTTCAACCACTTGTGAGCTTCAATAGTTGATCTATATGCTAGCTGACTTACATATTTCTCATCCTCAAGCAGCTCTACTCTATACTGACAGCAAACATGCCTCTGATATTGTTTCCAATCCTGTTCATTGTGAAAGAACAAAGCACATTCAACTAGATTGTCATCTAGTTCGAGAGAAATTACAAAAAGGTCTAATCAAAATCATCTACATCCCTTCCAAGCATCAGTTGCCGATATACTAACTAAACCACTTGGTTCTCTCAACTTTCATCATCTCATCCGCAAGATGGGATTGATAAATATCCATTCCCCTCTTGAGGGGGGTGTTGGAATCTACAATCTCACATTGAAGCCTTGGAATTCAATGCTCAAGAAGCAAAGGAAAGAAACCGTGTTTGTTCAAACAAATGAACTGGAATTAAGCTGGAAACAGAGTAGCTAAAGTGAGCTGGAAGAATTGAAGCTGAATTAGTCTTAGTTGTTTGTTAGTTTTGTTAGTTAAGACACGTCTCTACATTGTACCGGTTTGTATAAACTCAATTGGTTAGTTTGTTAGATAGAATCTTTTCGTTGCTCTATTTATGTCACGACAAATGCATTGTAAAATAAAAATATTGAATTCCTCTCAAGATTTCTTCTTGTTTTCTTTGTTTTCTAAATTTCAGATTAAGGAATTTTACAGGATGTGCCTATCTCTTTTGTTAAGAAATGTATGTTAGGAATTTTTTTAATTTTTTTTTTTCAATTGGATAATTTATTTATTTAGATTTCAAAAAGGTCAGGAATACAAAGCAAATTTAACATTCTTTGTTCTTGTTACGAAATTAAAAATAATTGGCACTCCTTCAAATCTTCGCATGATGTAATATTTCATTTGCCGGTCATTCTTTTCTCTGTGGAACAATGCTGCTTGAACAGGGGTTTTTGACAGGGTTTGTTGACACGCGCTATATTGATGCTTTTTTTCCCTAACTATCAAATGAGCAAATGAAACGTGTCCTTCAGTTTAAAATTTTGTTGTTGAGCTTGTTCATGTAGCAAGATTATTCTCTATATTTGCATCTCGATCTTCTATATAAATCTATGAGTTGATTGTAAAGATTGGAATCATCCCCACATAATGTAATATTAAATGATAATGTTAATAAAATGATTACATATTTGTAAACGTTATAATTTGTGGGAACGTCACCTATTGCATCATATGAGAAGTGAGAATCTTCACAATGAAAATACAATTATGCTAGATGAAAATAAATAACACTATTTTTTTTTTATATTTAATTTTTCTTATCATTTCACATCTCATCAACTGACATATCACATAAGGATCATTTCCATTAAGAATAAATATCATTATTCTTATTAAAACCTTCTACTCTAATTTTCCAAATCCAAAGGTGAAATTACATTCGAGAACGCCTTGCAGTAACAACCTAATATTTGTAAAGGCATCAAGTTCACTTATTCTTACAATATGAAAATTGGACTAAAAATGGAATATATGGACATTCGTTTGTTTTTTGACAAATGTTTTTTAATTGTAAATTGATTAAAATTTATTTTTAATTACATATTTTATTGGACATACGACTTTTTTCAACTTTTTAACCATACATTTCATGAAACATATCAACTTATAATCTCAAAAAGCTTTATTATACGAGGTCTAATTTTGACTAATTTATAAATACATTTGAATTCATTAGTCCTTGTTTAACCTCCATTTTAATTAAATTTTGGAAAAAAAATATTTTTTGGAATACTAATTTTTTGGAGAATATGTGGTTAAAAAATAAGGATTTTTTTTGAATTTACGTGTAATATTATTTTATTAAAAATTTGTGACTAATAAGAAGAAAGAAAAAATTGAATTATAATTTTAATGGAGCCCAAATAGATCTAAAAAAAAAATCAATAATATAATTTACCAAATTTACTATAGAACAAGTCGGAGTTACTTGAGTGCACTACTAATTCATTGTGGTTTATTTCGAAGAATCAAATCCTAGGGAAGAAACCCAATATCTTCCACCAGCCACCATTGCGCTCCGACATGAACATATGCGCGGAAGTTCCTCATCACTCATTGAACCCTTTTAACATGCAAGAGATGTACAGAGTTCATAAAGTAATTAAGTCCCTTTATAAGGACACGATGTTTCAGTTCACTCTTTGATTTTCGAGGAGTCTGATAAGGAGGTGGTGCTGAAGTGGAAAAAGGGTGATGATTTGTCGCCATGTGCCTATTATTGAAAGCGTGAAAGGAGGACGATGATCTGTTGTTTGGTGACAGCATTGGTGGTGGTTGGGGTGAAGGCATGGTTGGCAAGGGGTTGGATTTGGGGAATGGAGAAGAATATGGGTATTTTGATACATTATTTTTCTATATTTATGTTGTTTTTATTAAAATTAAATAATAAGGATTAAATGAATCGACATTGACATTTTCACCCTTCTAAATTATGTTACGTAAGGTACACACGCATACTAAATTAAAAGGAATAAATGGACATAAATAGACGAAAAAGAACCCTTTGCACAAAGACTGGTCGGTCCGAGGACTCACATGTTAAAACTAAATTGATACGAACCATTTGCACAATATAAACAAATTATAGGACCATTTTGTATCATTTACCCACTAAGTCCTTGTTCCTTCATTCCCACCCATTACTCTTCATCTTCCTCAGTGGCAAAGACCATAAGGCCCCTCAACTAACCTACTAAAATGTCACTCTCTCTCTCTTTATTACTCATTCCCCCTTTCTTTATTGCGTGTCGGGTCTTCTTCCCAAAGAGTAATTTTTCTATTAAAATAAGACCATACAACTGAAAACAAAGAAAAAACTTCCTCAGCTCTCATTTTTTCAACAATGGAGGAACCAGAACGCCTCCCTCAAATGCTCATGCCATGCAGTAGTGGACGAAGAGTAAGCAGCGATTCAAATTCACCCGAATTTGAGTTCTGGATGATCCGGAACCCATCTTTCCCTCAGCTTAATCTGCACACCGCCGATGAGCTTTTCTCCGATGGTGTACTCCTTCCTCTCCAGCTCCTCCAGCCACAGCTCTCCTTCAAAAAATCTGACCCTCAGTCTTCGCCTCCGCCACCGCAAGAGCCCGAACCATCCGGGTTGGATCAAGTACAGGAGACCCAACTCGCGAGTACTGCTGAATTAATTGATTTGTCATCTACCTCCGCATTTACTTCCTCGAAGCGGTGGAAGGATATATTCAAGAAAAGTGATAAGAAAAATGCAGTCACTGTTATTAATGGTAATTCAGATTGTAACAGTAAAGAGAAGAAGAGAGAGAAGAAGAGTGTTGGTGGTGGTGGAGTGAATGCGGCGGAATTGAACATAAATATATGGCCATTCTTAAGGAGTAGATCCGCGGGAAACGGCGGAAGTAGGCCTCGGACGAGGGCTGGATCGGCAGCATCGACGCGGAAGGTAAGTAGTGCACCGTGCTCGAGGAGTAACTCTGCGGGTGAGTCCAAGTCCAGGAAGTGGCCGAGCAGTCCTAACCGAGGTGTGGTCCGCTTAGGAAGGAGCAGCCCTGTCTGGCAGGTCCGCCGTTGCGGCGGTGGAGCTTCGGTTGGACGGAGCTCTGAGGCTGTGGTGAAGACATGTACTGAAAAGGGTTTCAAAAAAGGCTTGAACGAAGGTCGTCGGAAAAACTCCACATCCACTTCCGCCGGCGGTGATGTTGGTAGGGCCAAAGGAAGGGTATTGAATCTTAATGTTCCTATGTGTATAGGTTACCGGCATAATTTGGGGTGTAGAAGTGATGAAAATAGTACAATTGGTGCTTCTGCCGCCGCCGTGGTCGGTGGTGGTGAAACTGACGGAGGTGTTTCCGGTGAAGGGGTACGTGCCAGCAATTTATTTAATATCCGAAGCCTCTTTACCAAGAAAGTCTATTAATTATTTTCAAAACCAGTATAATTAATTAGTTCTTTATGATGACGTGCTTACGCCATGAGATTTTGTCCCTTCATACTGGTGGTATTTTTAATATTTTTTCCCATGTTCATGTGTATTTATGTAAATTATAAATCAAACTGAGCGACCACTTTATGAGTAATGATCTGCTATGGAACTGTAATTTATTAATGAGAGTAATGGTATTTAGAATTACTGGTGTTTACCATCGGTTTAGATGGCTACATTCGTGCCATTAAATTACAGGTTTAGTTAAATACAAGGATAAATCTATATGTACATAATTATTGTACATAATGGATTACATAGGCATGTGGAAGAATTCTGATCGTGTATGTGAAGTGTGGAAAAGTCAAAA